TCTCTCTCTCTCTCTCTCTCTCTCTCTCTCTCTCTCTCTCTCTCTCTCTCTCTCTCTCTCTCTCTCTTTATAACTTACGTCACGTACGCATAAGAAAGAATTCAATACTTTTGCAGATATGCCATATCTTTTGAAACGAAAACGAATTATCCGTCGTCTTCTTTCGCCGACGGCTGCCAATTACAAGGGAAATATGCGCGCGGCTACGTTTCTCCGCGGCGTCGCGTGATGAAAACCAATAACCCGGTTCGAAAGTCTAACGAAGTTAAAATCGAGTGTAACGCGAAAGTTAACGCAAGCAGGGAAAAGGGCAGAGGAAAAGAGAGAGAGAGAGAGAGAGAGAGAGAGAGAGAGAGATAAAGCCGGATGAAATTAAATTAAGCAGTACACGTTAATGAAAAGCTGTGAAAATAATGTGCACCCTTGGTAGCAGTTTTGTATCATCGCGGTGCGACTTATAGCTACTCGAGCCACCGAAACTCGCATGGGATTCGGACGAGGGCTGCGCGCAAATTCGAACTAATATCCGTGTATGCGGACACGTACGGACACCTGATCCTGGCCATTAATAATGCATGAGACAAGAAAAGTTGCAGTGGTGAATATGCATGGAATGCGGCGATATTGAGTGGCCGCGGCCGCGGCCGACACGATTTTCCAGACACGTGCCCGATGGCCCCTTTCGGAAATTCAACGTTCGACAGGTAATCCAACGGTGTAACCGCGTACATGAAATTTCGCGTTCGCTGCGGTTCGTCGGCGCGGCGCGACCACCACGTCGAGCCAATCCGCGGTTCAGTTTCAAGCGCGATAAATATGGCATGTGTCCGCCGTGTCCGCTCGCGAAACAGACTGCATTATTCGACCGTCTTTAAATTATCGATTAAATCTTGGCACCGGATCGCTGCTGCGTCTTTGCAAAAGACATCCGGATATTTGAGCTTTCTATTTCGGTTGGCAGCCCGCCGGGGACAATTGCCGTTCGCGGCTATGCGGTACGCGCATATCGAGTACTCGATGCGGATACTATAATTAGGAGCGCCGTTAGGAGTACGCGAAAGATGTGTATATTCTGTGAGCGTCGGGGACGGTCTCCCTAGGCGGTCTTTAGATCAGCGAGTTGTGGGTGAGTTGCTTTAGAAACGATAAACGCGGCGTACAGAACGCGTGTATGTGTGTGTACGCGTATACTGGGAAGTTTAGAGCCCCTCTATTTATGTCTCGTGACAGATAAAAGCGCAAACTTCTCGATAAGCCGAGTAACACGATAGCCCAGAAACCGCGAAACTCGACGAAATAAATGCCACGGCGATCTTCCGCTTACTCAATCCTGATTACGATTATCGTTTAGTCCTGTTACAGAACGTGTTGTTTTATAGTATGACATTAATATTTATCGGCAAAAACACCCACGATATCGGTTAAATAATAAACGATGGCTGACGCGCGATTCGGTGTGATCCGCGTTAGCTTTTAATAGCGGCGCGATGCCGGGACTTGTATCGATCGGATTTTTCATTCGCAGCTATAAGTATTCCGCGCGCCCATTAAAGAATTTATGGGATAGATTATGTATGTGTAACGATAGTCGAGATGTACTGCGGACGCACAGCGGATGCACAATCCTGCATTGAATCTCGTAATGCTGCATAATAGGCGAGAGGCTATCTAATACTACCATCAAGCACATAAACCCGCATACCAAACACACAACTATGTGTTTCATCACTTATGTTAATAGAAGCTTCAAAGGCCGCGTTCATGCGTAAGGACAAGAAGACGTGCAGATGCCAATCAAGTCTTGATTTTGAAGTCAGTAATGTGTCTATTCTCATGAAAAATGGAAATGGGAACTATATCAGAATTCGCGAAAGCATCTTGTATAACTATCGCATATATAACTATATGAATAAATTAAAGGATAATTTCTCTACAGTGGGAGATTAACACCAAGATCGGATTTCCCGTATCCTACGAGCAAGTAGATCAGGATTAATTTTACTCCCGGAAGCGAAAGTTCTACTGCGAAGTTTTGTAATTGATATCTCGACATGGAACCAGGTCGATGAAAGTTGTATGAGAAATTATTATTTTACCAGCGTATTCACGATTCTATTATCAATGCAAAACGTTGCATGACAGTTCGGTGGATACCGAAAGAATACGATTCTATATGCTAGGCTTTGCGAAAATCAGCTACCCTCGAACATTCAGATTTTATACATCATTCATATACCAATCTGCTAACTAATCTTTACAACACGTGAGAGTAGAGAGAGATAAAATCCAATTTTATCAATCAATCGTTATCCGCGTGAAGAACGACTATGCATTCATTAGTAGCGCGAAGATCTCAGCTTTCCAACGACTCTAATCTTAAGTCTTTAGGATCTCTAAAAGCAAAGATGCCGACAATAATATCAAACCAAGTTCGGTAGATCCCATCACTTTTCGTAAACAGTCAGCGGCATCTACTTGTTTAGCCAAAGAGAAAGTAGAAAAGAGAGAGACCTCATAGTAAACAGTAAACATACCTGCCCGGCTCGGACATATCCTTCTATTGTATTGCTGCTAACAATATCTGTCGTCACTGCTTCCCCACGCGCATGTGCGGCGTTTAGGCACGTGCTTCACCGACCACGAGGTCGTTCACACTTGCTTTATGAACTTTTACGATTAATATCTCAGCTATCCGTACAGCTACGACAATGAGGTTTTCGCGAAATTTAATGACTTTACCTGTAGATTCGATTTTGCTCATTTATTTCAATGTTATCGCTAATTAATGTATGCTTGCCCTCTCATTTTCCAATGCAAATTCCTGCTAAATTGCTCAAACTATAAAATTGGACATGCAGCTTGCTTAATTGGCACTTAGTACTGGTGTTGTTCCAATTTCGATTCTTAATCTTAGGTACGCCAGCTTAACAAAAGTGAATAAAAGGAGAATGGTTAAAATAGCCCTGGAGCGTATATAGATAAACCTAGCTCGATTGAATGTACTCACTGAGCACGTCAAGAGTTGTAATGGCACTGTCATGGAAAAACATTGCAGTCTTGAGACATAATGTGATTTTTAAAAAATCGGTAATTTACAAAATGCGCTTGTCTCCACACTTGATCATACGCCCCAAAACCAGTGTCTATAAAGATTTAGGCATTCTCCTTTGCTATTGCTGAAATCTCAGAATTTCCAAGATGAAATCACAATGGGTGAAATTAGAAAGAATCAAAATATCGCAGTAAAAATATTCGCTCTTTCGATGAAAATATTTCTTTTTTTTACAACGGAATAAAGCGATTTGATATATGCTCGCCAGATGATGCAAAGTATTTGTCACATCTGGCGCACACAGATGTGCAGTCAAAATGATTCGGCGAATGGAGATAGAAGAAAAACGCGCTTTGATTTGCGCTCTAAAAATGCGTTCCAATATATTATTTATTTTTCACTTTCGAAAACGCCATTCGCCGTGTTTTCCTAGCAACGATTCTCTTTGAAAAATCGATGCTATCGGAATGCAGGAAAACGAGACGCCCTCCCCCGGGACTCTTCAATCCTCTTCATTTTACCAGGTTTCGCTTGATCTTCCGGTGAAAATAAATTCGCTCGAAACAATCGGGAAGATCATATTAAACGAATCGCAGCTCGAATCAAATATGAGGATGAATAGTCGGAGTATCACGTTTTATTCAAATTTATTCGGTAAAAATTCAAAACACGCCACAAACAGTAAAGAACAAAGGAAGTAATTGTCCTCTCCGTTTTATATGATTTCGTTCGATCTGTTCAAGCGCAAAAATAGACCGTTTCGAAACGGTCGGCTAATATCATTGAACTAAAAGCTGAAACTGAAATTTAGATGAAATATGAGAATGAACCGTCGAAATATCGAGTTTGCCAGGAATCATTTGTTAAAAATTGGATTCGCGCGGCGAACACGATGTAATTATCGACTTAGGATCTCATAGCCTCTTCCCTCTCATAGTTCCTCTTCCGAGAATTCTCTGAACTCTATTAATTCGTTTTCAAGTTTCCGCGCGTTATTCGTACGCATATTGTCGATCTGTGGAAATATCGTGTAACAACGGAAATTACTGTTGCGCGTTACAGGAAACATGGTGCAGACGGTGGTGGCACATCTCTCAGAGGAGCCTCTCCCTATCGGCCAGTTCCTACTCGCCGACGTTAAATCCGCTTCTGATGAAGCAACTGAAAGAGCCTAAAGCCACGGAAAAAGCAGCGAAGAATGCTATGAAGGCCACGTCGGCGGAAAACCTGGCGGTCGAGAGCGCGGAATCAGCCGGTGAGTTGACACAGGCTCTTTCATTATAAAAAAAAAAAAAAGTAAGAAAAAAGCAGAACGGATCGTTGTAGACAGGATGGATCTCTATACATTATATTGTATTTATTACACATTTGGTACATTCAACTTACATCGGCGTACTCGTGTTCGCATACTCGCTTTGAATCTTACGTGTGCGACGTTACACTGAGGATCCTCCATACCGTAACCTCATTGCTCACTCTGTCGATGCTTATCGCCTGCTATGAAATATGACTCGTGTGGACTTATCCACCTGCAACAACGGACTAATCGATTACATACTTAATGTGTCTAATAAATTATCTTGACTATCAACGTTTCCTCTTGCGCGATAGTCGCGCGCGATACTCGTATATCGCGTTGCCGCGAGAGAGAGAGAGAGAGAGAGAAACGCCATATTTCGTTCTTGAGAGTCTCTACTCTCTCGGCGGCGCGCGCTGTGTCCGCGTTCCATGGAAAATAATTTTTCCGTCGGCTGGACACATCGCTCTTGCGTACAGACACGAGGCCGTCGTTCTGCGATGACGTCTCGATGAAATTTTGCGTTGATACAATATTGAAACATCGATCACGTTATCTCATTCGGCAATCCTCGTCCAGTCGGTCGTCGAAGAGAAACCGCGTCGAAGAAATAAATATATCATACAAGAGGGAGAGCCTGCCGTTCAGGATGCTTGCGCGTATTCGTTCTGGCTGTCAATCCCATTGAGGCTATCCTCGAGTACCTCGAACTCCTCGAACTCCATCTTGCCGAAATCATTGCTGGGCCTCCAAGTGTTGGTGTTCACTTCCCACCTCGTCAGTGCGCTCGCCGTAAATCTGCTCGGATAATTGGATCTCGACCCGTCTTCCAAGCTGCCCAGCTTAAAGTCCGCTTTGAAAGTCCTCGATTCCTTCGCCTCCTCTTTCTTCGGCTCCAAACCAATCACCACCGGCGGCTCCCGCTTTACCTGCTCAATCTGCTCCAACTCCACGTCCCCTCGTTGCTTCTCGTCGTCCTGTTGCCGGTCGATCGTCGTGATCTCGATGCTCGGCGTCTCCGCGATCGTGCACTGCCTGAGATCGGCGGTGTCGCGTTCGCGGTCGCGATCACGACGCAACGGCTTGCTCTCCACGAGCCTGCCGGTCAACTCGAGCCTGCTGTCGCATGAGTTGCTCTTCACGAGCTTGAACTTCACGTAGTCGCTCGATCGATCGGCCTGCTTGAAGCCGTTGCCGATCAAAGGCGAGATCAGTGGCCCGTTGTGCGTGTTCACCACTTTCCCACCGTAGTACGTCACCGAAGTGCCACACTCACGGATCTTCCTCAGCACGTCCTGGGACACATAGTGGCCCGGGCCGCTCGTGTCCGTGCCGTCGTCCTCGTGGCTGTTCACGTCTTCGTCGTCGGACGACGTGCAATGGGCCGCGCTGCCGGCATCGGTGTCGGGATAATCGCTCGAGACTCCGGAGCTCACGCTACCGGAGTCCCAATTTTGATGATGATGATGATGATGGTGGTGATGATGATGGTGGTGGTAACGACCGACCTTGTTCTTGGAACAGTTCGAGTCGCTCGGTGACGTGTTGCCGCTTCTAGCCTCGAAGCTCTGCGCGAGAATCCTCGTCTTCGATTCCCCCCGCGGGCTTCCGGGCTCCTCCTTGGCGATGGACGCGCTCGACGACGCGGACTTGGTCTCGAAGAGTCTCGTGAGGTCCTTCGCCCTGCTGGAGCATCTGGATCTAAACATAACGCGTGGAGTTTCGCTCAAACGGTTCAAACAAATTCTCAAGAACGTGACTCACGTCGGCGGTCCCGACAGAGAAACGAACGGCTCGTTTTCGCTCAATATTCGGCAACTTTAACGCGATCCCGGAAACGTTGTTATCCTAGCCGCGCGTAATCGAATCGCAGACTCCTCAATGCACGGAAGCGCCAACGGAGATTCCGTGGAAATTTGTAATCCCATTAAAATCGAGAGTTGTCTCCGACGAAGAGAATTGTCTGCAACACGGTTCCTGCGAATTTCATTCATCCGCGACGATGATTAAAAACGCGCTCATCGCATTGTCGTCGTCGTCTGGACGCTCGCACGTCAATAAATAGAAAACGACAACGACGACGGCTCAATATCATATACGCTACCTGGATTCCTCGCGTGCCTTGTCGGACATGTCGTCGTATCGGCCGTCGTCGATGCTCGTCAGGTCTTTCATACTAAGGCTCCTTCTGCTCTTGCAGTCCCTCGAGAACTCCGCGTCGGACGTGCTCTTCTTCTTCAATGTGTTCTCGAACATGCGTCTTACGTTTCTCACTGTATCTGGATCCGGCAGTTCCTCATCGATCAGCTCGCGATTCACCCTGATGGGATGATAGAAGAAGTGTTTCCTGATGATCGATTTATTGGGTCCTTTGGCGATATCGTCGTCGGCTGTTTGTTCGCCACTCCTCTCGGCCTTCTTCTGGATCGTGCCAGCAACCTTGCAGGACGGCTCCGTCCTGGCCAACGGTGACGATGTCGACTTGCGCTCCACCGGCTCAGCGCGAACCGGTTCGATGATAACGACGTTGTTATCCATCAGCAGCTCCTGAAACGAGTATTCGCGCAGGTACTGCATCAGCCCGTCGTAGGTGACGTCGCCACGGCCGGTGCTGAACATATTCTTGCTGAACATGTGCGACTTGACGATCTTGTATCGCACGTGATCGAACTCCGGGCCGTCGTCCTGACACTCTATCGAGTCCACGCAGCTTCTCGACCTGGTGAGATTGGTGTGCGGCTTTTTGCCGTCGCTCATGTTGTCGTTGGCCGCCACGGTGGGATTATCAGCAACGCTCCGGGGCGACCGATCGTCCTCAGCGCCGTCGTCCATGGATCTTCTGCGAGAGTCACTGCCGGATTCCGAACCGAGACCTAGGTCGGAGCTCTCCGACCTCGCCTCAAAGCCCAGGCTACCCTTTACGACGCTGCACGCCTTCCCAAGAATATTGGACGTCTCCTTTACTATCCTCTCAAATCTACCTTCATTCTGCTTATTCCGCGTCGTTTCTCTCTCCGCGGTTTTCCGCTCGAAGAAGTTCCTCGCGTCCTCCACCGTCGCCGTGTCGCTCGCATTTGTCGGTGTGGCGGCGTTCTGCGAAATTAGTCGTCGATATGCTTAATGCGCTTACGCCCCGCTTTCGACGCAAAGTGATTTCCCTCAGCGGAAAATCGCCAGAAGGAAAGAAGGGAAAGGAATGCAAAATCCTGAACTTCAAAAGCACGATATATAGCATGATCAGAAATATTTATACAAACTTTGAGGATGAAATCTATACATTTAAACAAGAAAAAATGTCACATATACACATATGGAAATACACATATGGAAATATACATATCTGGAATTTATGAGTCATAATCGAGAAATTATATTCAACGCGACAAAGACACAGATGTCATATTTTATTTCAAACTGACAGAATATATTGACAATGATACATGACCAATGTAATAAGTCTTCATTTCAATTGTTTATTTACTCACAATTCACAGTGAATGCTTAAAATGTTCTCTACCTGCTTCAATGCACGCATGGACACATCGGATCATGCGCATTCTTTCAAAGAAACAGTTTCGCAGGTACCTACGATGCGTTGGTGAAGTGTCTCTTCATTTGCAATTTTAGTTGCATGAACTAGGGCTTTTAAATAACTCCAAAAGTAAAAATCTAGTGGATTTAGGTCAGACAAACGAACAAATCATGAGACTGGTTCTTTCTTATCTATTCATTTATCATGATAGATATCAGCAAGTATATCTCGAATAATGTGCGGCTAAAATGTGTTGAAGCCCCATTGTATATCAACCATATGGTTGTTCTTATTACCAGAGATAAAACCCTAAGTATTGAATGTATAAATTGAATCAAGTTTTCAATTATAACTTATAAAAACCAGATATTTCCGGATATGTGTGCATATGACATTTTTCTTTAAGTGTAGAGAACTTACCTCCAAAATTTATACAAATATTTATCTGAATCATCTTTATATATATATATATATATATATATATATATATATATATATATATATTATTTTATTTATATATCATTTTATATATATATATATATATATATATATATATATATATATATAATGCAAATTGGCGTGTGCAAATTGTTTTACGAGAACGAAGGGGTGTGCAAATTATTTAATCGCATGGAACTTTGCCGAGAAAGATTGAGAAGTTAAAGTTGCAATACACGCAGTCAGTCACGCGAGAGCCATTCGAAATTCCACGCCCGCGTGTGCATATTCTGTGCGCGTGGGGAGAATTCGAAATCACTCGCTTGCGCTCCCCCGAAGTAGCTTTCAATCTTGAAATACCTCTGAGAAAATACCGTTCGTGCTTTCTTAGTATTTTCCTCACTCTTATATATTTTACCAGGCACCAGGTCCGCGAAAGAAGTTACTACACCGCGAACAATAACGCACTTTACTAAGACACGCTAGAAATATCTTATCGGGTTTCAAGCTCACCTCCGCGTGTTTCCCGCGAACCTCGCCGTCCTTACGCGCGTTATTGCCCGTTTTGTTCAACGAGGAGACGTCGACGCGCTCGTTTGAGTTCTCTTTCGCGCTCTCTTGTGGCTTCTTGTCCTTTGGCACGTCCTCGACGACAGCATCGATCTCTACGACCGAACGCCGATGTCGTCTCTTGGTGACGTCGTTGTCGACGACTTTGAGAATCTGCGGTCTGCGTGACATCTCGTCCTGTTCTTCACTGTCCGAGATCCAGATCGACTTGTAGTCCTCCACCTCGTCGATCTTGCGATCCTCCTCGCACGGGGGAATCACGAAACTCTCGACATCGGCCTTGTATCGCTCCCGCTTGAACTTGCACGATGATGACAAGGACGACGACGAAGGATTGGAGGGGATGCGCTGATCCGTGAACTTGTTTGCCGTGCTAATCTCTGAGTCCTCCTCGAAACTCTCTTCGGATTCCCGACGGTCTCGACCCGCCAAATTTGCGCCTGTGTCCTCGGGTGTGTCGAGGTCTTCACGAATCTTCTTTCCGCGATCGTCGTCCTCGTCGTCGTCGTCGTCGTCGTCGTTGTCGTCTCGCACGATATTGTTCTCCTTCGCTGTACGCTTCTCCTCGTCCGTGGCGTCGCCGCCGCTCGTGGAAGGCGATGCCTCCTCGACGCTGCTCGGTTCACGGTACTCGAGCACTCTTAAGTCTCGCGAGCCACGAAGCCGCTCGAAATTACCGTCCGCCAAGTCGTTCTCGTCGTACTCCAGTCGCACGTTGGAGAGGGGCAGTAAATTTAGCACATCGAAGTACTCGAGCTCGCCGTCGTCCTCGAAAAGGATGCTGTCTAAACTCCGATGTTCCTTGCGCTTGCGCTTCACCTAAGCGAGAGGGTACTTTGCTCCATAAGAGCTTTTTGCGGCTTGACCGATTTGCGAGGGAACTACGTTTTTTATTTCAAGAATGAGGTGCTTTTTCGTAATGTATGCGATGAGATTTGAGACAATCGCGTTCCGCTGTTCAAGAGTGGTTTATGTCGTTTAAAGGTCCCGCGAACGAACACGGTATTAGTATGCGTCACGACGTTAGTGCAAATGCGGTTCGCAAAAGAGAAAAACTCGTCCCAGTTTCACTCCTGCAGTTTCTATCGTCACCTCGTCAAGCTTCGCGATAAAAACGCGTTTGATTGATAATCGGACCGTTATTCCAATTCTTCGACACTCACGAGAAGTTTTCTCATCATAGAACTCGTCGAGAACTAATCCGCCTGGTGTCAATTAGATTTCAATTAAGCCAGGACCAAAAATAGCAACGGTACTAGGAAACTTGACGGGGTCATAATGATCTCTATCGTTTTAATTAACGTTGGCAACAAACTTCTTAATCTTGCCGGTGTATCGGTGGGACGTTGAGATCCCGGCACGGATCTCTGAGGGCGATACGTCACTGCACAGCAAGTGAACTCTAATTCGATTGATAATTACATCTGAAAATTTCCTCAGAGCAATTTCCACGCGACACGTTACTCCATTGTCAACTGCGTTAAAACTTTGTGTGTATGTATGTACTTTGTATATATGCACTTCACGTGAGCTTCAGCTAAATATCGATCGTTTAATCGAGGAGAACGATCACCGTAATCGAGAAGAGAAGAATTCACCTGCGTGTATATGCAATCGATGCTGCGATTGCCTTCGATGGGCCAATTGTCCTCGACGATGTCGACCAGGCCGCTCACCGTGTCCAAGTTTTGCACACTGCGGTAGCGTCTCGGCGGGTCCGGCCAGTCGAGGATATTCAGCCTGTCGGGATCGGCGCGACTCCCTCGGGCGTAGGGCAGCGGATCTGGAAGAGACACGAGACCCGACGGGATCGAGTGAAGGCCGCACGTCGATCGCGAGTGGTAGGATCTCGCCTCGTTGAATCTCTCGTAAGAGTCCGTAAGGTGCTGCTGACTCTTGGAGAGTCTGGAATGAGGTGCGGAGTTACTCTTGACTGATCGCTCACGTGGAGTAAAGCTCGCGATCGTAAAGCTAGAGCGGGTGCTCTCGTGAATTGTGGCTGATATAGATCTCGCGACGGCAGGGAGCATCTGCAAGTCTAATGACTTCCGTAACTCCCGTCAACTCGCGTTGGGCTTGACGCCTTGTGTGGCGATATCGACCGACAAAAGGAGCCTTTTAAGGGAAAGGGTCCGTCGAACGGGCAAACGAGTAGAAAATTAGTTCTGAACATCGCGATTAATCTGCCACCATCTTTTACGCGACAAAGAGAAAAGTGGTTTTCTAAAATATTATATACTTGGAGAGTGAGATTAATTACTCGGAGAATAATTATTTTCCGAGCACGTATAGTTATTTTTTAATATCGCGAAATTTTTGCCAATATTTCTCTCCATCTCGAGTAATTATCTCATCGCAAAGTTCGAGGTACACTTTGATATTACACGAGTCGCGAAGACCGATCTGGAATAGAGTGGTTCTTTTTTCTTTATTCCTTTGGTGTATCGAATTAGATTGCTTCCAATGGAGGGCAAATAGCTGAAAGGAACGAAAGACTTTTCGCTTTTATCGCGGGACACCATCCAGTTTAATTCCACATCGGTGATACACTGTTAAATATTGGAGGGTCAAATTTAAACCAATTTCTTAAGTTAAATAATATAGTTAATAATAATAAGTTAATAATAGTTATTTTTAACTATCATGTGTGTCAAAATTTACTATTTTAACACAAAACATGTGTTTAAAAAAACAACCACATCTAATCAACTCATTTAAAACAATATTAAGTCATTTTTTACTAAAACAAAGGTTATATTAACGTGCACATAATAAAAAATAAACTAAATTTTAAAATTTAATACATTTATTAAGTTAAATTATTTAACTCCATTACATTAGTTAAATTAACGACATATTTAGTAGGAGCAGTGGCGACTTATAGGAATGATTAAAAATAACTCAAATTGAGTATAATTTGACACTACGGATTTAACAGTGTATCCACGGAATTTCTCCGAATTTTATATTGGATAGACAAAGAAAAGGAGAAAAAGAAATAGAAGTTTCAAACCGTTCCGGTACTTCGTTAATAATCTGGGTCGCGCCCATCAAACCCGTGAGTCGGGTTTATCCTTATCGGTTATGCTCATTAGCTGCAACAATAATAATAATCTACCGACTGCCGCGAGAGCGAATAATGCGAAATTTACGGTCAAAGGATCAAATTCGCGACGCGTATGGGGAAACTTCACGACCGCCGTAATTGCCATTGTTAACGACGGCGGTTTATTATTATCTCAGCGCGATTATCACTGATCACCAACATGCCGGTGTTTATTGAGTATCGAGTATTGAATGACACGCCAGTATTATAAAATATGAAGGGACGCGATTTCCCGCTCGATCGCCAATTAAAATGAGACATTTCAAGCGTTCTTCAAATCTCTCTCTCTCTTTCTCTCTCTCTCCTTCTCAGTGATTAACGTATAACCTACTTTCGCGATTTATTGCGATACGTGAACCCGACCCTCATCCAACGGTCGAACACACGAAAAGATATCCTTAACGGAATCCTCTTAAATATATCGCTCACAAAAGGAAATTCTTCTAAAGCCAAAAGGAAGATATCTCAAGCACAATATTCTTAAAGTTAGAGGTTAAGTTGGTCTTTTGTCTGCAGTACAAACCTAGTCCTTGGTAGACATTTCTTCTAATAAAAGGGCATTCCGCTTCAGATAAACATACATATTTACTTAATACATACGTATTCCTCTTGACACAAATGGAGAACAATTCTGATAATATCTAAAAGATTTACAATTAATAATCTACTTTTCATCATAAAAAGAATCTCTCTCTCGCGGTAAAAGTTTTCGTTTAGAATATAAAATTACAGGAAATAGAATTTTGCAATTCTCTTTAAAGTTATTCTTGAATATTAAAATATTTAAAATATTTTCCTTTGGAATTTGGGAGAATCTTTTCGAGGCTAATATACAAGAGGATCCTACTGAAGATGAGCTTATATTTTTTAGATAAATAGGAAAGAACGACCCGAGACGAGCTCTCGTTTCTACCTCAGCTTCTTCGCAAGAGCTATTAATTAAAACGCAATAGGATCGAGCGCAACTCGAGATTTTATCGTACCCGACGGATATAGATGACACTCACCTGTCCTTGAGAGAATTCCGATCGATCAGCTTGGCCCTCGGTATCAATTGATGTCTCCTCGGCAGGTCGAAGGTCGACTGGCCCAGTCGGAAGTGACGGGCGTCTCGCTCCTGCCGAGACTCGTCCTCCGATATCACTGCGAGGCTCCTCGTGCGCTTCAGCAGTTTCCTGCGATCCTGCGTCGACTGCGCCGAGTGCGACTCGTAGCGGTTGCCTTCCCTGCAATTAATATTGCACACTTGCGTGGTAACCAACGCGTCGAAATCGTCGGAAATGCAAATCATAATGAAATCATATGCTGCGATCGGATTACCACTGTACGCGGTACAAAACAATGTGCGACACATGCGATTAGCGTGTGCTCAGCATTTACCGCATCAGTGAAGTCACGCGCTTTCTCTTAAGTCGCGGGTCTCCTCGTGCTGCTCGTTATTACGAATGAAGGCAAAATCGTGAATACCTGGCGAGGAGACAGCGCACTCGCCGGTATACATCATTAATCTCTTGCGCTCCAAAGACGACGTAGTCACTCGAAATCTTTTATTAAACCCAAAGAACGGCGAAAACCTTCGAGGTTTAAGTCTAAATTCGACCAGCTACCGTCAATTTAAAAAATTGATTTCAAAATTGAAAGGCACCCCGCTGAATTTTAGAAGATACTTTAAATGAAGATACTTTAGTGAGAAAGAATGATTAAACGTGGCTTTCGAAGTTCAAGTCTAGAATTAACTACACGGAAGGAATTTTATAGTAAAAATCAGAACTATAGGACTTTGTAATTGACGAATAGATCGACATTCTGCACTAATTCACCTTTCATCCTTTCATTTCACATGTGCTACTTACAATTTAAGGACTGAAATGTACTATTAATCCTTTCGCTACCAATTTTGTTTTTCAAAGGTACAACTTTTTTTTTGCTTTTACTTCATTAAATACATTAATATTTAATGGAGTTTTAACAGAAAAGTTAAAAGTTTTATTTTACGTCATAGAGATAAAGCCGGGACACTGATGTCCCACTGGGATTTTTGGAAGATATTTGTCCCAACGGTAATGAGTAGAGTGATAAATGATGAGTTCTGAATCCCAAAAAAGCTGTTTCCTCAATTGGATAAAGTTAATATTAATAGTGGAGAAAATATGTCCCAAGATGTACATATCCTTTTAATAGCGAAAGGGTTAAAACGCTCGCTATATTTTTAACGAAATCTGCGGTGTTTCCAGTGAAGTTTATTATGTCCCTTAGCAAGATAGACTATACTGACGGTCTACTTCTGGACTACTAAAAACACAGTAAAACTGAAAAGAATTTATAAGAAAAATAAAAACTATACCATTCTCTCCGTGTAACTACTGCTAATTTAAGAACTGATTTCAAATGGGAGTCGCCGTGAAATTTTCAGAAAAATTTCGAATCCCACCGTAGCGACGGTCCTAGATTAATAACCCTAATCTCCCTGGGTGTTAAATAACTAATGAGCTTGCTAGAATATCGTCCTACGTCGACATAGGCGAGCTCATGACATAAAGTGGCGTGTAGCTTCGATATACCGCTTAATTGCCATAAGTGGTCACGTAAAATTCGTTAACGCACGGGAATATATTGATTGCGTATTCATCTCTCGTCGCGATCTCACCGAGGATCGACTTTTCCGACCTCTTGGTGAGTCAACTAATAATTAAACGATATATCTGTTTCGGTCTAATTTGAAGGAAAAACCAAGTAAGCCATGATTCAACTGTTAGTTAGTTCATCAAAATTGGACAAATCACTTCTGAGTCGTGATAAGAACACGACGCGACGCGGTGAAATATGATCTAAAAGGCCAGGTAGTGAAATCGCGCGCGAATGCGGAAAAACTTTTGTGCCGCGAGACGTCGCGTCTGGAGGAAAGTATATAATGGCACAATGGCGAGCGACGTCTCTTCAAGTTTCTTTCACCGTGAATCGAACGAACTTCTCCGTCTGACGGAGAAGCCGAGTGTCAGATGCCGCTCGCGCGAGCATAGCCTCTTAAAACGAGATTTATCGCCGGCCAGTTTTATTCCGTGCTTAGAAGGAAATTATTTCTTTTTTATCGCGGGGCTCCCCGAGCTCGGTCCCCGGCTCGAGCCGCCGTTATCGTTTTTCTCGTGTAAAATTCACCATGACTTATCGCGACCAAATGGACGCGCGGCAGTACATTCTCGTAATGGTCGTTAATTGTAATCTTGTAATGATATCAAATACGTGAAACTGTTGTATTTCCGCAGCGTGGCGCTCCTACCTTGGCTGATGAGTCACTCGTGACACTTAAATTGAAAATCTGCATGAAACCACATTTCTCGCGTTCTCCCGCGGGTCCTTAATAGACAGAGTGAAAAGCCGCGAATGCGTCCTTCGTGTAGACCGGCGCTTTTATTACTCTCGAGTCGCAGAATTAAATCGCGCTCGCCTCGCTCTGATTTACAATTCCTAGTCCGCGAGTTTTTCGCTGGCAAACCTCACGGTCGTTTGCATGCGAGGGCGAGGCCGCGTTATTACGCGCGCATTTCCTGCTTTCCGTCTCGATCGCTGCGTCGATCGTAAAAGCAGTATCAGATGTACAAATTAATCCGCCAAAGTGATTTTAGCTTTATAAGTTTCTAAATACGAATTAGCTTTATGAGTTTCTAAATAGAAAGACTGTTTGCCGACCAGAAAACCCGCAAAGTCATTTTACTGCATCGTAACGTTCGGTCACGCGCAACAGAAGATACCACAATCCTCTTTAACTGAAAGCTAGCAAGTTTCCGCTCACGCGACTTATTCGCCAGACTTGGCTCTATTATATGTCTGCATTATTTTGGCAGATAAATTCGAAATGTCCAAAAAAGTGCCAATCGACTTTATCGACTTTATTGACAACACTTTTTTCGTGGATAAATTTTGACTTTACTGAAAATAAGGCGCCAAATATCTGAACGTATTATTTCAGTCTAAACGCGACGCAAAATTCGCAATAGAAAGAAAAAACAAGAGAAAAAGAGAGAAATATAAAATCGTCAGTATATCGTATTTGTTTAACCAGTTGCTGCACGAAGCATTTGATGCAAAGACGAGGATCGTTACGTCTAATTTGCTTACTCAACTCTGACTGTATTCACATAAAGGATGTTGCCTGCGTAATCAGCGGTATCCTTTCGATCAATAGCAAAGACTCACGCGCCGTCGCGACTCATTGCACGCCAATATAACTCGCGAATGCCAGAGAACGCCGTGGATGTAACTGACGTGTAATTATCTCGTTACTTTGATCCACGCGCCGACAAGCCACTTAATTGACGCTCGCAGGGAGTGAGAGACGCGCTGACAAAATGCGAGATTCGCGGATGTGCCGTGCGAAAATTTTGAGACGGAAGTGAGTCGACGTGACGCGACACGACGCGACGCAAAGAACGAAACGGAACGAGGGAAATGCGCCGTCACTTATTTGTGCTTTTTCTTTCACTCACTTCGTTAACTCGCAAATCCCTCCCTCCGGTCTCTCTCGCCGCCCGGGGGAGGAATAAATCCGATAAACAGTTTTATCGAACGCCAGCCATGCGAATATCGTACACGGCTGCTTTTTTTTCCATCTCGCCAAACAGCCGCGAGCTGAAAACGAACGCGTCCTTTCGGCCGACTGCCCGTCTTAACGAACGCAAATCCTTGAAGTCAGAATGCAGACGGCGTATCGCGTCGTCTCATTGTATTCGTCTGAGCACGGCGGCTGGTTACGTAAGGTTATCACGAGTTATCTCTCGCGTAACTCTGCACGCCTCCTTTCGACGCGTGCACATGAGGATGAGGAAGATTCCCAGGTACTTGTTTCGCTTTCCTCTCAATGGAACAACACCACGTCTTCCATAGCCCGACCCTTTTCTCGTGGACAAATTTTGACTTTACTGAAGAAAAGAATATCATTTCAATATCTGAAAATATCTAAATTTCTAAATTTCACCTTGAACACGATTCGCGAAATTTGCAACAGAGCGAAAAACAACAGAAAAAGAGAGAAATACAAAATCGTCGGCATAGACCAGCATATATCGCATTTGGTTGGCCACTTCGCTGCGTGAAGTTCGATGCAAAGACGAGGATTATAACGCCTAATTCGCTTACTCAACGCTGACTGCTCGAGTGTACTCGCGAAAAGGATGTTGCCTGCGTAATTAGCGGTATCCTTTCGGTCAGCAGCCTTTTTTTTTGTTAATTATTTCGCCGCGAGCACACTCGAATTGTTTCGGTGAAATGGAATTTCGTGAACAGCACGGAATTCTCTTTAACAATTCAACAGCAAGACGGATAGACCCTTGCGACGTTCATGAGTAACGATTGCCTCGTGCGCTGCGATTTAATCATGTGTTCTAAAAGGGAACATTTTACCTCTCGTGCGCGTTCATTATTCTTAGGGAGTTTATTCAGCGGGTACGTATTTCTACGTACAAAGAACGTATTTTTAGTGGCGCATTACAAAGTGGAGCTCAAATTCACTATTTATCGTACAAAATTGCGTTTCCATATATTTATCTCGCTGTATAAATAATAAATGTTAATCCGAAATTAATGTCATGATATTACTTTGCCACGTTTTGTTCACAATGTTACTCGAAGCTTAAAACAGCAGTTTTCCGGCTTACAATCGATCATTGCACAAAAACGGTGTAGCAAATACTATTCTTTCTTTTACGGCGCGTTTCCTAATATATAACATTTATAACGGTAAATTTTTTTACTTGAATGATATTATTTTTGCATTGGAATAATGATAAAGATCCATTTAAAAGTACAAACGCTTTGCAGCGTTTAAAGAAAGATTACGATTGCCTATACGGCACTTCGAAGTATTTGCAGCGCCAAGTAGATCATATTCCTTCATCGCTTCTATCATAATTGATTATATGTGCAAAATTGCGGTATTTAGTATTAAATTCATCACGATTGGTGCAGACAAATTGCATAAAGCTTTAGCTACGAGTATGTTTTATTGCGGTGATAAATGTTACCTTAAATTTTTATACAATTTTAAGCATTTTGATTTAAATTAATAAATTCCGATAAAATAAAAGACAATCGATAACAATCGATATGTGCGACAACGCACACTTTTATCGTGGCCAACGAGCTGGTTGTTTAGTTATGCCATCTTAATTATTCCCGAACTCGCAGGTGTTCGTAAAAAAAAGCGGAAAAGCGAGGGGGAGGTCGATTGCCC